CAAAATTAGTGTTCTTCTCACCAAGCCTCTGACAACTGTGATTCATAAAAAGCTGATCTAATCAGAATTTATATTAACTGATAACTCTTTGCTGAATACCAAACCAGCATGAAATTAAAGCATGACTTAAGTTGATTCGTAACTTCAAAAATCAGCTATTGGTGTTCTTGTCTGTGAAGTGCATGTTCTTAAAATTGTCTTTTAACTGCTACTTACCTGTTTCAAAAAGAATCAGTCTCTGATTGGATTTCCCTAAGGACTTCTGTATTGAACTAATGGATCATTCTAATATTGCTGCTATTAGAAGGTAAATCATTAGCCAGAAGCAATCATAGCAGTGAAATTTAGAGCTTTTCTTTTTTTTTCAAAAGCAAACTTTGCACAAGTGGCATAGAGAAATAAAAAGTAATTTGATGACAAATGATCCAAAAAACTTGGACTTGAAAAGCAACAAGTTTGCTATTTTTTCCTGGCTTTGGGCTTTTTTTTTTCTTCCCATTTGTGGCTTTTAAAATTCCTTCATGATTTCAGCAGCTCTGTCTTTGCCCTGATGTGTTACTTTCTGTGATTTGCAGCTGGAGGGGGGTCTTCATGCAGCCCTGTTCTTGCGAGAAAGCATAAAGGTGATTATTTTCAAAAACAAATCTTTAATTGCATTCCTTTAATTTTTCTTTTTTTTTTCTCCTCCTCTACACTTCATTGTCTTGCTGAACTTTGGTTTTCATTCACAATTGCCTTTGTGTTACCAGCTGAGCTTAATCACTGTAAATCTTAAAAGAATTCTGACACAATTTCTGATATTGCAATCAACACATTCTGAAATTATTCAAAATAGTATAATTCTTATTTTTCCTGTAGTTGCCTGGCAAAATTATGGTGATAAATATTGATGCAATTTTCACTTTTAAAGAACACATTTAAAAATAATGTCTAAACAGGGCCTTCTTCCTTTTGATGCTAATATTTAATCTTTAATGTAACTCAAAAACCAGTTAACCTTCCTGGGGTTTTTTTAGGCCTTTTTGGTTTCTTCTTGCACTAATGCATGTGTATGTTTGCATGCTTTGATATGATGCTTTTCTGTTTTTTTCTGTTGTTGATGATTAACGCTATTCATTTTTGTGTTTTACTGTGTATATTTTAGTTTTTTTCTTCAGCAGGTAATTAATTTAGCAGGATTTTAAATAATACAGTTTGCTCTGAAGTATTCTTTTCCCAGTTTGTGCATGAAAGTACTTCATCTAGTTTTACCTTTACGTTTTGCTTAAAACCAGTCATTTCAGTACTAGAGCCACTCTGTGTACCAGTTTCATTGCCTGTTTTAGGTGAGCAAAATGTTGTTACTGCTGTGGAACTACGTGTGAGTGTAGTGCAGTCTGTGCAAGCAATACTGAAAAGAAAAATTTCAAGGAAAAGTAGTTTAAGACTAAATAAGGTTCTACACACTTTAAGGACCATTATAGCAACTAGCTTACAATTCTTCCAAATATGGCTTCCCTTTTTTGTGTGCAAGGAGTCTCATAATGCTTAAAGAATAATAGTGCATTTCACAGGGCTTGGTTTTGGGACCGATGTTTTTTAACATCTTTGATGGAGACATGGACATCGGGATTGAGTGCACCCTTAGCAAGTTTGCTGACAACACCAAGCTGTGTGGTGTGGTGGACACACTGGAGGGAAGGGATGCCATCCAGAGGGACCTTGACAGGCTGGAGAGGTGGGCCCATTCCAACCTCATGAAGTTCAATATGGCCAAGTTCAAGGTCCTGCACATGGGTCAGGGCAATCCCAAGCACAAATAAAGGCTGGGCAGAGAATGGATTGAGAGCAGCCCTGAAGAGAAGGAGTTGGGGGTTGATGAGAATCTCAACATAAGCTGGCAATGTGCACTTGCAGCACAGAAAGCCCTCTGTATTCTAGGATTCTATGAATGCACCTATATGCTTTAAGAATGTACCTAAACGTGAAATAGTGAGTAGAGTTCAATTAAATAGTTCTTACAGATGCAGTGATAATTTCTAGTTTAGAAATGATAGAGTGAAAGAAAGGGTGTTCTGAAAAAAGATATTGCTGCAGCATCCAAAAGTGAGACAGAATGCAACACATCAGGATAGCAACAAAATGCTAAATCATCATTTTTATACTCTGAATTGTTAGTGACTTTGAAGTACTAATAATAGTGTAAATTCAATTAAAGTACTTGTTAAAACACTAACCTTTCCTTCATTCAGTGGGAAAACATGTGTGAGTCATCAGCTTCTATCTGCTTTTGAGATCATGGTATGAAGACTTTGTGGTCTAAAAAAATGGCATAAATAAATGTGAAGAAATCTGTTCACAGTTTTGTTTTTTGTACAGGTTTAATTTCAAATTGTGAATTGTTAATTTCCTGTTACTCTCCATTGTAGACATGAGGGAAAAATCAAGCCTAATCCCAGTTCCTCCTTGAAGTAATTTTGCAGTCCTCTGCGATGTAGAGTAGCAAGCTTCTGTTGTTGGCTGTGGGTGAAACTTCTCTAGCTGTAGTACTGCTGTGTGAAGGGGTGTAAAGTGAGGGTGATGTCCAGAGATCTGTGACCCTAACCTCAGAACTTGAATATTCCATGTCTTTTCAGGCTTACTGCTTCAGACTAAGGTTAGTTTTGAGCAGCTGGCCTATGTTGACTTGTTTGTGTTTCAGCTTCAGAAAACTATTTACAAAAAAGGCTGAAAACTAATTTTTAAATGAAAGCCGATGTTCTGTGTCTTAACTGATTTTTTTTCTAAATAGTGGAAAAGTATCCTGCACCTTGTTTTATATACTCATTTAAGCATATGAAACCTAATATGCCTAATAAGTGTTTTTGAGTGTCCTTCCTCTTTCACTTACTTTTAAAGGTGATGAACTGTGGAAATGTCTTGGGTCAGGGCCACCACCACACAGTTGCTCCCTCCCCTCCCCTGCCCACCTTTCCCCCTCCTGGGAAGATGGGGGGAAGGATAAAAAAAAAAAAAAAGAGGTGGAACATTGTGAGTTGAGGTAATGACAGATTTTAATAATACAACACGAGAAAAAAGAGAATATAATAGTAAGACAAGATGTAGAATACAATGAAAACACGAGAGCTTCAGAAAGGCCCCCCACCCTTCTCCCGGCTAGCTTCCCCTTATATCCTGGGCGTGACCTCAGCATGGTATCCAATATCCCTTTGGCTATGCCTACCTCCCAGCTTCTGTGAATAATTAACCCTATCCCACCTGAACCCAGGACAGGAAAGCAGAAGAATATCCTGGTTTGTTTCAGTGAAATGGATGTAAATGTGAGAAATAATAGAGAAGAATATGCTATCTTTGACGTTTTGTGTTGGGAACTCTTAGCAGGATTTTATCATTCTTTTGTAGGAGTGTGTGGCTCTCAGTTACTGTTATTTTACATAGAACGTACATGGAATGTCATGGTTACTTTTCTGCCTTACTTACAGGTTTGAATAGCATAAAAGATACTTTTTGGAGGAATACAATTCTACAGTGGTACTGCTGTGTATGAAAGCAGTTGTGACAGAGAAATTAGTACAGGAGTCTGTTAATGCTTTTTTACTCCCGTCAACTTAAATGAGATACAAAAGAATTCACCTAGAGTTATCAAAACATTGGTATCTTGCATGGTGAATCTTAGACTACCAGTGACCTTTATTCTAAATGGCAAAACAGGCTTATATCAAAGCAGTAATTGTGACATGCTGGAGGGGAGGGATACCATCCAGAGGGACCTTGAAAGGTTTGAGAGGTGGGCCCATGCAAACCTCAAGGCCAAGTGCAAGGTCCTGCACATGGGTTGGGACAATCCCAAGCACAAATACAGGCTGGGAGGAGAATGGGGTGAGAGCAGCGCTGAGGAGAAGGACTTGGGGGTGTTGGTTGATGAGAAGCTCAACATGAGCCGGCAATGCGTGCTTTCAGGCCAGAAAGCCAAAAGTGTCTTGGGCTGTACCAAAAGAAGCGTGACCAGCAGGTCAAGGGAGGTGATTCTCCCTCTCTACTCTGCTCTCATGAGACCCCACCTGGAGTACTGTGTTCAGCTGTGGGGCCCCCAGCATAAAAAAGAAATGGACCTGTTGGAGCGAGTCCAGAGGAGAGCCACGAAGATGGTCAGAGGGCTGGAGCACCTCCCCTATATGAGGACAGGCTGAGTCAGTTGGGCTTGTTCAGCCTGGAGAAGAGAAAGCTCTGGGGAGACCTTATAGCAAGCAGCCTTCCAGTGCTGAAAGGGGGCTACAGGAGAGATGGGGAGCCACTCTTGGTCAGGGAGTGTAGTGATAGAACAAGGAGTAACAGTTTTAAGATAAAAGAGATTAAGAAGAAATATTTTCATGGTGAGGTGGTGAGGCAGTGGCACAGGTTGCCCAGAGAAGCTGTGGATGCCCCATCCCTGGAGGTGTTCAAGGCCAGGCTGGATGAGGCTTTGAGCAACCTGATCTAGTGGTAGTTGTCCCTGCCCATGGCAGGGGGGTTGGAACTAGAGGATCTCTAAGATCTCTTTCAACCCAAACCATTCTATGATGATGATGAACCCCTCTGTCTCAGCAAGCGACTTGTGAGATCCAGAAGGACGGGCTCAGTAGCTCCCTCTGCACTCCGTATCCTTCCAATTTGCAGACTTCTCAGTGCAGTTTTGTCCTTGGTTTGCTCACAGGCAGTGTGCAGTCCCAGGTATCTTTCTCTTTCCAGTGCCTCTATTTTAAATAGGTATTACTCTAGGAGTAAGGGAACTCTGTGATGATTGTGTTAGGTTTTATGTGGTTCTCATTTTTCCTATGGCAAATGTTTCTCTCAAGATTTTTGTCTTACTGGTCTCTGGACCTTAATGGCTGTTGTCCATGGTTCATCACCCTGTCCCAGTTATGTTGTCTTGTGCTTCTAGTCTGTGCTGCTCTTCCCTCTAGGCATTTTCCATTCTGTTATCATTGGAGTTTCAAGCCCCAGACTGCAAGTAGCCTTTGATAATTTTCATAGCCTTAAGGAGGAAGAGGTTATTTATTTATTCTATTACTTGTGATGTTTTAATGTCCTGCTGAGTTGAGGGCAGACATCCAGATGCCAGGTATCCAGTCCTTAGTAATAAGACATAGTTGATGAATTTAGTGAGATCTTAAACATAGTCCACAAGATAAACTAGAATGAATAAGGTCATTGGCAGTTTTCTGAATGGTTACACTGTTAAATAAAATTACTTAACTGTGTGTTGCCTTGTTGCTGCTGTCTGTTTCTCTCCTGATCAGATAGTGAGGGACAGGATATTCACTTCCTTCATTCCTTTCTCTTTTTCATCTCTTGCCTGTCATAGCTTTGACAAATTATGTGGATAAACTTTTTAAAAACAGATTTCACATCTACCTGACTTCAACTTTTCAAGTTCAGCATTTCAAGTTGACTAATTTTGGAAAACTGTAAAGGTTTTTCTTTTATCACATCTCAGGTAAAATACTTCTTGGTGAAGAAGAGGGTTTGGAGGATGATCCTGAGACCCGATCAGATGTCAGCGCTGGATCGTTTGCAGGTAGCTGACTTCCCCTTTAGCAGTGCAATCAACCTGTGTTACTCTACATTACAAATCCATTTTTTTTATTGCTCTGTGTAAAATATAGCAGTGATGTGTTATGGTGACTAGGAAGTAGATGAGCACTCAAAAGACATGCTAACAAAACTGAAACCATAAATACTCCTGGGTATAAAACTTATACAGATGCTTATTTCCCTACCTGTAGTAGCATTTAACTGTTTAGTTATATACTTTCCTTAGACTAGTTTAATATGTGGCCTAGTGTGTGGTGTGTATATCAACAGTGAAACACCAGTTTAGACACTTGATTGACTCATAAATCTGTGTTTTGCAGCTTCTGTGAAGGGCGAGTTAACCAGTGAAATAGCTTCTTCATCAGGTGTATCGACAGCTGGGTCAGGAGGGAGTTCAGCTGCTGATCCTACTGGACATGATATCATTACTGAGCAGCCACGTTCTCAACATACGTTGCAGTCAGACTCTGTAGACCTGACAAGCTGTGATATGCCAAGTACAGCTACTGAAGGGGAAGAAGATGATGTGCTTAGTCGAAGTTCCAGCCAGATCAGTGCTGTCCAGTCAGATCCCACTATGGACTTGAATGATGGTACACAGGCTTCCTCACCAATTAGTGATAGCTCTCAGACTACTACAGAAGGTCCAGACTCTGCTGTAACCCCTTCGGACAGTTCTGAAATTGTAAGTGTGCAACGGGCAGAGGGGGGATCCCCTTCTACTGAGGGGCCCGACATATCTCAGAGCTCTTCCATGGAGGGCCCAGACTTGGATTCATCTACTTACTCGTCTTCTACTTTTCCATCCTCAGCTAGTAACAATGGAAAGGTCAGCAGCTCATGCCTCTTTTGGAGAGCTTGACCTCCTTTTAACACTTTCACTTCAGCAGCAATTAAAAACTACAAAGCTGTGAGCAGTGTTCACTGAGTAGGTTCATATGAAGGCAGTAACAGATCGACACTCTGTGGAAGAATGTCAATTTCAAAGGCATGACATAAATATATCCTCTTAGTAGCATTTCCTTCATTTTGTATAGATAATAACTGTTTTGGTGCAGGAAGACTAATGGAAGTGTTAAAGGGTGAACAGTCTTTTTGGAATGACAGAGGAATACTTTTGAAACCTAGTGCTTCCCATTGTTTTCTGCCTGTGCTTTTTCACTTGGCAACACAACATATTTTTTTTTCCTTTTTATTCCATCTTAAGGATTTCTATATTGAGCAAATACTGCATGATTTACTAATGTAGCAGCTACATACCTGATAAACACATGCAATGTGCATACAGCATAGCTATTTCAAGAAATTTGTTTCTCTTAGGCAAGTGTATTGTGGGCTTGTAATAAAAAGAGCAAAAATGCAATTACAGCAAGAGTAGAAAATGCAAAAAGGGTATTACTGCAAATTTTCATCAGACTGTTGCATATGTTGGTTTGCATACTGTTTACGAGCACTAATTACAAGTAAAATAGGTTTTTTGTAATTGACAGACTAAGTGGTTGTCCCACTCACTCATACACAGGCTTTTTAATGAACAGTTTCCAGGTGCAATGCACCAAGTGTTCAACTTTCTTACTGTTATTGTCCAAGTTCATGGCTCACATGGGAGGCTGTGAGATGTAACTATGGCTTCTAATATCCCAAATGCTGGAGGAGGAGGGGAACGAACTGCTTGGGGGCCTGCACACAGCTGTACACTAATATTTGTCAGGCTCATGTTTGCTTTCAAATTATTTCTAAATTACTAACACCGCATGTCTGAGATTTAATAGTGTGTATTAAGCTAAGTTATTTTAAGTCCTGTCCTTGCACTGTGTAGGTTTTGGAGGGTGCTGAAGGACAGTATTCTGGAATGCAAATTGGGCAGCTGCAGGATGAGGAAGATGAGGCTGCAAATATTCTCCAAGATGATTCATCAGAGTCTTTCAGAAATTCTTCTATTGGTATGTTGATAAATGGGGGGACAGGATGGGACCCATAGAAGTGGTGACACCTTTAAGGCAGGTGTTACAGGTGCATCCGCTGTCTTCCTTCCAAGGGACTGAACACTTGCATAACGGATATGAAAAACAAATAACTAGACTGAAATGAAAAATAAGGAATGTTTCAACACTTATAATGAATAACTTGTTTTGATCACTGCTAATTTATTTGTTCATGTTTGTATAATTAAGTTAAATTAAAGTGCTTTTAATTTGCATCTGAAATGGTAGTTCATGAATTGACTTTTTCTAAAGCACTTCAACAGCCTCACCTGTTGAAAACCACGAGCCATAGTAGGCAGCCTTCCGATAGCAGCGTAGACAGATTTACATCAAAAGAAGATGCAGCAGATCCTGGTGATCATGAAAATAAGGTAAGAAGTGGTCAGAGTGGTGTGAGTGGTCTGGTTTAAAGTTTAAAACAACTGTGTTTAAAAAAAAAATTACACTTATGATAATGTAAATTAGTGGTAAATGTGGGTAGCCTGTATATGTGGTGTACTTCGTTATCGGTCAAAATAACTAAGGTTGAACAGTAAGTCTGAGTTATAGCCTGAATTTCGTTTAACGTAAGGTGGATACACAAGTGTTGATATTTTAAATGCAATCACTAGCAAAACAGTAACAGAACACAAACTGCTGAGAACACAAACCCCTTTTGTCTGTGCATTAGTAGGGTGCGCTAATACTTTATTACCCAAAATATCTTTGTGCTGGTTGCTAGCTGTGTAGGTACCTTTATGATCTCCTCAGAAGATATTAGTCTTTCTCTTTGAGCCTTGCTTTCTGCAGAGAGGCTCATGGTGTTGTAACCACAGGTTGCTGATTTCCTCTTATGGTTTTTTGACTTTAGCTTTGGGCCTTGTTCTGCACTGGGGCAAAAAGAGTTTGGTTTGTGGCAGGCAGAGTTGGATCAGCGTGGGCTACTGGGGAACTCTAAGTGTGAAACTACAGAAGGTTGTCAGCCTTCTTTGGAAACAACTTAGGAATTAATTGCTTCTCATACAAAATTTCTGAAGATCATTGTTTGGTGACAAAAAGTGTTTTTTCAGACTCCTTCAGATGCCAACAGAAATTCAGAAAATCTACAGAATGGTTGTTGTTTCTGTGATAACATTTAAACTAATTCTGATAGTGGTTACAAACTTCCCAGAAGCATTACATTTTAGGGCCTTTATTTGGAATATGTATTAAGCACATTTTGTATTACAACCTTTATACATTTGGAGATGTGCAGTTTTTCTAAGTCCTGTTGTGTTTAATATTTTATTTAAGTTGAAGATTAATTTTTATCTATATAAAAATTGTGATTTGCCTTTAATAGCCCTCCAGGGTAAAGGGAGACATAGGCCACTATACCGATGGAAATACTGCTCCTTTGGTGCACTGCGTTAGACTTCTGTCAGCCTCTTTTCTACTTACTGGAGAAAAAGGAGGTAAGTTCCTGTTCAAGACTTATTAATTCATTGTGTGTCTCAATGTACAAAGTTGGAAGTGTAATCACTTTAATCTGTCTGGTTTTTAAGCTCACTTCATTGGAGCTTTTGGGGATGGGGTTTTTCTGCAACATTCCTGACAGTCACACCGGAGTACAGGAAAACCTAAAAACACTTAAAAATTTATGCCATTTTAGAATGAATCCTGTTTTGAACCATTGGACATCTAAAGAAGTGTCGTGGTAACTTAATGCTTAAGTCAAATACTTAGAAGAATTTACAAATTGTAAATTCTTATGAGACTTAACCTGTGGGGCCGTGATGGTTTACAGATAGTATGAAACTGCAAACACAATCTAATATCAGTATTTCTTTTTTATCAGTGTTGGATGCCCAGTTTGTCCCCTGTAAAAGTATCAATACCTCAGTAAAAGCTAAGGAAGCAATTTTCTGAATTGCCGTCCATTCTGAGAAACTCATAAAAACAAGTTCAGAAGAATATAGTTCTTTGAAGTACTTGTCTTAATATTTTTACAATTGATTTTGTTTACGATGCCTAGTTTGTTTTAATTAAAACAAGATTAAAAGTATCTTTTTTTCTAGCTTTATCACTCAGTTGTTTTTGAATTCCGTGTTAATTTTTTTGAATGTACTTCAGGTAGAGGAAGTGCTGTTGTACACGTTTGTGTTTTGGAAATGTAACTTTAGCTTTTAAAGGATTTAGCTGTAGTAAAGCAGAGAATTGACCTAAAGTTTCATAGACGTAGCTGAAATCTCAAGTTTAACTTTTTTCTCCATTTCTAACATCTTACAGCACTTGTATAAATTAGTGTGGCCATTTTTAATGTGGTTTTTCATGTGTGACTGTCAAAGAGAAACTTTGACAGTAAGTGATTGCTAGAGGAGGCTGTTGGGGCTCGAAGGAGGAGTTTACTTTTTCTGCAAAATAATAAAATGTCAGTAGGGATTTCCAGAAAGCCTTTATGGCATACGCTGCTGCTTCCTTTTTTTCTTTTTTTTTTTTTTTTTTTTCCACTGAGAAATCTGTGTCACAGGCATGCGAGTTGGTATCATTGTATATGACTGAAGTGAACATTTAAGATGTGGGTTTTTTCCATTGTATAAATTCTTATTGGTTCGTGTGCTCTGCTAATGTTGCGTTCTTGGAAAAACAGTGGTAGTAGCTGTATTCTCAGCAATGAAGGAAGTGAGAAGTGTGTGGGGTTGTTTTTGGTGGGGTTTTTTTGGTTGTTTGTTTGGGGTTTTTTTGTTAAAAAAGCAGTGTATAACTGCTGCCTCTGATAAACTGGAACTACTAGCTCTGCCTTCATATTTTTTGTCCAGGCTAAGCTATTTGTATCATACAGAGTTATTAATTAACTTAAAAACAATTCAGGAAGCTTTTAAATACCCAAATACCACCCCTTCCCCCCCCTTTTTTTTTTCCTTCTTCCCAGCTTTAGTTCCTGATAGAGATGTGAGGGTCAGTGTGAAAGCCCTGGCAGTAAGCTGTGTTGGAGCAGCCGTTGCTCTTCACCCTGAGTCGTTCTTCAGCAAATTGTATAAAACACCCCTTGAAGCAATGGGAGAAGAGTATGGTATGTTGCAGTTCACATATTCCGTTTTAATAATGTGTTTAGGTTTTCAAATAAGTGAGGCAGCATCTACACTGAAAACTCTAAATGTGGTTTAGTATTTGCAAGCAAATACTGCACCAATTGGAATGTCCATGCTGTCTGTACTAGTAGTAGTAGTAGTAGTGCATGTGGTGAGATTTTTTTTTGTAGTAAGAGTTAAGTATCGGGTAATGAGCCTGTACAGCTTCTGACAAGTTGTAACTGAGTTCAACTGCTATTTAAAAATGGTTTGTTTATCTTATATACAGTTTCTTTTAATCTATTTCAGGCCATCTTACAGATGGTTTCTAAGCCATTAGGTTCATTTTTATGAATGATACAGTGTGATAAGCAGAGACCTGGAGTATTCAACTGGTTTGATATCAATAGTGGCAAAGGTGGAGTGTTGACCAAAACTCTTGTTAGATTTCCACAGAGCATTTTGTGTACAATTGAACTGAAATACTGCTGTTTCTATAAGTGATCCTTGGTCTGGATGGTGTGAGTGATCTGTAGATTACATGCAATCTCTGAAAGGTAGAACTAAGGCGTATTGTGAATATGCTGACATTGACTGTACAATAATTGGTACCTCCACGGAAACATTTTTAGGGATCAGTTACGTCTGAGATGAGTATTTTTAAAATGAAGTAGTTATAACTTATTTTCTTAGAAGAGCAGTACGTGTCAGACATTCTGAACTACATTGACCACGGAGATCCCCAGATTAGAGGAGCTACTGCCATTCTGTGTGGAACAATTGTCAACTCCATTCTAATTAAATCTCGCTTTGATGTGGAGAAATGGCTAACAGATGTCAGAAGCTCAACAGGTAACCGTTTATTTTAAGATTATATATATTTTTTTATGTAACCAAAATTTTCTTTTGTTTCATTGCTCTAATTTTTTTTTTTTGTTAGGAAATCTCTTTTCCTTGGTAGATTGCATACCTCTGTTACAGAAAACACTGAAAGATGAGTCCTCTGTTACATGCAAACTGGCTTGTACAGCTGTGAAGGTAAGCAGAAGTAATAATATATTTGCACCACCACGGATCACAGGGACATTATTCGTTGACTAGGGTCCTGCTATGATCAGGTGTATAAACATGGAGCAAAAAATTACTTCCTTCCCAATAACTTTATTGTAGAAAACATGGATTCAGGCACAGAAGTGGAAGAACAAACAGATGGAAAATAATTACGTTGGTCAGATTGTATAACAATATAATCTAATCACGATACTTCTAGTCATAAATGTGGTGTTTGAGCCCTGTGAGTTTTAGACGCTACTCTTTAGAGGACTGTCCTCTGATCAGGGCTTGTGTTCCTTTCCAGAGTTTAAATTCAGCAGTAAGTTTCAGCAGTAAGTTTTAGCAGTTCACATGGAGCTAGTGTCCTAGCCTTGCAAGGTACCTAGCTCTGGTACTTTCTCCTAGCTCTTAAGCAATAACTTTTTTTTAGTATTCTAAACAAAACATTTTTATGGTAATTTACATACTTTGATTCAGAGAACATTTTCTATAATAACTGAAAGTTGTTTTTTCTTCTCAGCATTGCATCATGAGCTTATGTAGTAGCAGTTACAGCGAACTAGGTTTACAATTAATTGTTGACCTCCTTACGCTGAAGAATAGCTCATATTGGCTAGTAAGGACGGAACTTCTGGAAACACTTGCAGAGGTAGATTTTCGGTAAGCATTTATATTTTTCCAAGAAGTTTGAGAATGCTGTATATAAGAAACTGGAACCGTAGTGGAGTGGTTTCTTCTGAAACATTACAAGCTTTATAAAACTAATTCAGACCAGTCATTCTTATAAGGAACAAATTAATTCCTTTGAAGTTACATTGGCTTCACTACTAGGGTAACTACCTAGTAACATTGTATAGGAGTTTCTAGTTCAGTAATCTGTTTTATCAAGTCTTCTGTAAATCTGTGATGAGAGAGAGACTGAATAATCTGGAAACTAACTTGGGTTTAATGTCCAGTTATGTGTGTTTTTAAGGAAAAAGCCCCTGACTTGTTCCCCATTGTTGTCAGCTCTCTTCTGTTGCTTAGTTTCTGTTATACTGAAATGAATAATGACTTGACTTCTTTTTCTTGCGTTCCCTCATTCTCTACAGGTTCTTCCAAGCTGAAAGACAAAAGATGTTTATATGAAAATTCTCCAAGTTTTCCTTAGTCATACAAAATTATGCTCTTTATGAATAGTGATATTTGGAACGTGTTACCATCTTTTCAGAACAGTCTGATTTTTTATGTGCATGGGAAAAAAATAATCAGTTACACTCGCAATGTGTAAATAGTTTTTTAATGAAAGAAAAGTAATTCTTCTGTGGCACTAGCCAGATAGTAGTTTAGCAAATAGCTAACCTTTTCTGAAGGTAGCGAAAATTGTGTTTAATTCTAACATTTTCTCTGCAGTGATGTTTTTAAAAAATAAACAAAAAGAACCATCAGAGCACTGAAGAGAGAAATAAGTTTAGTATTAACTAATGTACTCTTAATTCTATTTTACCATAGGCTAGTCAGCTTCTTGGAAGGAAGAACTGAGAGCTTGCACAGAGGTGTTCATCATTATACTGGTGTAAGTAAATAATTCAATCGGTATGTTGTGTTTCTGGATTAAAGTAGCAGTGCAATTTCAGCACTTCATGTTTAAATTCTGTCAAAACTGATAGTTTTTGTAAGTGTGTTCTGTATAAGTAGACTCCATTGTGAGACTTGTTCCAACTGGAAAGGTACTTTACTACTGAGATTCAAGTATTTTAGTGTTCTGTGGTGTATGTCTGTGTGGTTTTTGAAGTTTAAAAAAAAACAATTTTTTTTGGCATTTATGTATTTACCTAGTGTATTTGGCAATGTTAAAGTAAAGATTGTCTTACAGATTTGTATGACAGATGGAATCTTGCTTGTTAACTATCTTTTAACAATGTGCTCAAAGAATGAAAATGTTCAATGAACTTTACTGTGCTAACTTATTTTATAGCTACTAAAACTTCAAGAGAGAGTGCTTAATAATGTTGTAATATGTCTGCTTGGAGATGAAGATCCAAGAGTGAGACACGTAGCTTCAGCTTCATTAGTGAGGTATATATGGGGGTTTTTATTTAAAAAAAAAAAAAGGCAAAACCCAGGGGGTTTAGAAAGATATTTGCATGTTACTGTGTGCCTATAACTACAATAATCCCTTAGTGTGTTGTTTATATTTTTGTTTAAACGAGGGATGGGAGACCACTGCAGCTTTCTATTACCTGGAGCATACATCATTCTGAATTGTCAGGCAATTGTGCTTTGCTTTCTGTTAGCACTACAATTACATTTAACTGTATTGCATTCTGAGGGTCACTTTCAGTTTCAACTTCGTTAAGTTAGTTTTCTGCATATTGAAGTGTTTTGGTCAATATCCTGACAGTAGTTGATGAACTTAAAATGTTGCAGTTCTACCGTGTTTTCCTAACTCCCAAACACTGTAATTGCCACATAGTTGAGTAGTGTATCTTTAAACTTTTGTGCTTGCTGATTATAGTGAAGTAGCTAATCTTGTTTAAAAAGCAGGTGTTTGCTGTAACCTACTAGAGTTAACAATTGCTGTCCAGATAAGTGCACCAAGTAGTAATGATTAGTTGGTAGTTTGTTTATTAGAATTCAAGGACTTGAGTTTTATGTTTAAAGGAGTTGGGAGCATCTGATACTGACTTCCTGGGCTGTTTTCTTGTCAGAGGAGTTTCTTTCATGGTTTTTCATACTATATTGCTGTACATTCTTAATAACAAAGGATAATGAAACATTAAAAATTCTGCTGCTTAAAAGCAGTTGGACTGCAGAAGCAGCTCAGGAGAGAAATCATTAACTGTTGCATCTTAGCATTTGTTGCTTTTATTTAAGGACTTGATTTTGAAATGGAGTTATCTTGTTATCTGAGTGATAACAAGAGAAAGTTTTTCCATATCTTCGTGTTTACTTAGTGACAGCATGTGTGTTAAGGTTAGAAAGACATAACTGCCAAAAACGCTGCTACAGGCTTGCAGAAGACCCTTGAAATGTCCAGTGTGGACGTTCATTGGAAGTACTGTCAGTCAACTTATAAAAAATATCTATTGTAGTTTTTAACTGTCGTCTAATTTGAAAATCTTGTTGTTCAAGAAGACTGTATCTTATTGTATGTTTGTTTTGCTGCATAGAAATTAGATGGTGAAAATTTGTCCTTTTTAGGTAGAAATTAATTTTCTGTTGACCCAGATATCTATGGGGAAAATATCTGGGGAGACAGGGGAAAACTGAGAAATACTCTAGCAAAGTGGTCATTGTAGTGTGTGTAGGTAGCTCCAGTGTAAAAATGCTGTGTATGGGAAATCTCTATAAAAGATCTTTTTTTAACTGCCATGTGTCTAGAGCAGTTCCTTTGTCCTGAGTTGAGCTCCTTGATTATAGTGAAGAGCAGTTGTATAAAGATGAATTCAGGTTAACAATATGAGCTTTAGTAACAGTTTTTATTTACACTTTGATATGTGGAATAAGTGTATGCAGCTTTCTGAAGTGTATATTAAATGTACTTTAAATTATATATTAAATAATTTCTGAATAATACTTTTCCTTTTTGATGTTTATCATTCAGGCTTGTTCCAAAGCTATTTTATAACTGTGATCAAGGACAGGCTGATCCAGTTGTGGCAGTAGCAAGAGACCAAAGCAGTGTCTACCTGAAACTACTAATGCATGAAACACAGCCTCCATCCCACTTCGCGGTGAGCACTATCACCAGGTATGTTATGTGACTTGTCTTGCTTTAAAAGGAATGTGGATCCAAATTTCAATTAATAATGCCTAGAATCATATTTAAATTTTGCAAATCCATGTGCTTATGAATTCTTCTTCCAATCTGTAGGAGAATCTGTGGTAGTTGTAGGCTCCACAGTAACAGACTTGGGTTTAAAGGATAAACTGGTGTGTGAGTTACTAGGGATGTGCTCACACGTTGATTGCAGGGAGTCATTGATCTGTGATAAACTTTATCTTCTTCCTCCCGAGGTCACCTTATGTGTCCATTATATTACACAAGTAAGTGCAACTTCGCAAGCTAATCATGTGTATACGTTACTGTTCTTGAGGTGTGTTGATCAGGATTTATAACTCTTCACATCCTGTTTAGTGATTGTGGTTGCAGAAGTCTGTACTGCTTTCTAATCTTGGTAGTATGATCTTGTTGCTGTATTTTTGCTGCTAACTGTACTTTCCTAAGCTGTTCTGTTTAGATGTCTTCCAGACAGTATGAATTGTATACATTTATGGGGCTATTTGCTTCTACCAATTTGTCATACAAGTTTTTAATTATGTACCTTTTCCATACATGATCGTGATTGTGTCACTCAAGATTTATATACTGTAATATGGAAACAATAGAACTTTGGACACTGGGTTACTTCAACTACAAAATAGTTGCTTTTCTACAGCAATAATCTTTTTACAACAATAATCCAAAGTTTGTGAACATATACAAGTGTTAAATGGATTTGAGCAAAAGCAAAGACTAACGCTAAATTGGTGGTGATTCCTAGAGCACCTAGTTTAGAGTTGATCTACTGTTTCTGTTTGCTGACAAAGACATTTGATTTATGAACTAAATTGCTTTTGCTAGTACAGAAGCAAAAATATTAAAATATAATAAGGTGGTATATAGAGCTTTCTCCAATTTTTGTATTTTATAAGCAGTCTGTAAAATATGTAATAGTAATTTAAGCCATAATAATTTTTTTATTGAGGTGGGTTTTTTTAAGTACGTGTTTTAGTGTTATAAATATTTTTGTTTCAGAATATATAGAGGTTACAATATGCTGCAAAGTCCAACAGATGTCACTATGGAAAACAATCTCTCAAGGGTTGTTGCAGCAGTTTCCCATGCATTGACACTATCCACTACAAAAGCACTTACAGTGAGTTGTTTTAGTTGCTATAGTGGCTCACTTTTTTTTTTTTTGCTTGCTTTATTTTTAATTATTTCCTGGCTATATTTTTATCTGCAGCTTTGGTACTGTGGCAGTGGGAATAGTTAAAACATTTAATTCTCACTCTTAAGATACTTTGTTGTTGCTAACTCTTCCAGTGATGAAACTGATTCAGTTCTTGGTGTTAACTTTTTCAGTTTGGCTGCTGTGAAGCTTTGTGTCTTCTCTCCACAACATTTCCAGTCTGCACCTGGAGCGTGGGATGGCACTGTGGGTATGTTCCCTCATCTATTATTCAAGCTTCTAAAAGTCATTTTTGCCAAATGGAAGTACGGTTATTTAGGTATTACAAGTCCTGGTTTAGGTATATTCTGTTAAGCTTATCTTAGCAGTTACTTATGAACTTTATACAGAGTGTAACATCAGGTTGTCATGATATTAAGTGTCAGCACTTTGTCATCTCTGGAACCACAGCATATACGACAGGGAATGGCTGCAGCTGCTGTAATAGAAAGATAAATATGTGTCTGTCAAAATAAATAATATGAGAAAACTTTCCATGCTTTTGAAAGAATGTTTGTCTTCAGGATATGGTGTCTTGTAGTATCTCTTTAAAATCATAGCATCATAATTTTCTTCAGTTTATCAGTAGATGTCACTAGCAGCTTTGATATTTGCAACTTAAAAAAAAACCAACAGTTCTTCAAGATTGCGTAGTGTTGTCATGTCTCTGCTGCAAATGTTTTAAGTCCTATTTGAGTGTTGTGTATTTCTGTTGTACTGAATTTTTTTTTTTTAAGATTACTAGTTTACTTAAGTGTTAGTTTTCTTAAGACTTTAAACTTACAAAAGTGGGGGGGAAAGGTAATGACATTCCAAAATTTAACTTCCAGTGTTTCCCAGCCAAGTCCTTCAGATGAAACTCAGAAAGGCTGCACTATTGGAATGGCTGGCATGGTCCTGTCTCTCCTTTCATCAGCATGGTTCCCACTGGACCTCTCTGCACATCAGGATGCTTTGATTTTGACTGGAAACTTGCTTGCAGGTAGGGTAGAGCAGGAAGAGTAGGTTTGTCCTGTTATTTTTGCCATTAACATCAGAAGGCTTGTGTCTCACTCTATTCTGACTGCGCACAACAAAATACTTGCAAGACTGAGCAGAAGAAATAAAGAAGGATCTTCTTGCACCCAGGCGGTTTGGAAAGATACTGCCTCCCAGTTGCAGATTTCCTGTAGCTGCCAAAGGGAACGTGCAGTGTGCTTAGTATATGCTGCATACGAAGAATTAACGTGTGTTGTTGTTGTTTAAAAGTATACACCTACTGCTGGTTTTGAAAATAGAGGTTCACTTTTCCCTGTCTGAACTTCTGGTCATATAGAGATGATATGCCTCTAAAATTTTCTGATACTTAATTCCAAGTTTTAATCATACTTTTCTTCAATATGATTCGTGTTGCAGCAAGTGCTCCCAAATGCTTAAAGAATCCCTGGAGTGCTGAAGAAGATTCAAACCAAGGTGCTGCAAAGCAGGAGGAACCCTGGCCGGCTCTGGCAGATCGAACACTTGTTAGTTTAGTAGAACAGCTCTTTTCTCATCTGCTGAAGGTCATTAATATTTGTGCACATGTAATGGATGATGTCGCCCCTGGCCCCGCAGTAAAGGTATGTATTAGAAAGAAATAAAATTGTGTGACTTAAATACTGTTGTGATATACACCTTTTCAAGGCTCTGCATTTTAGAGTTGATAGAGGTAACTATCTAATACCTTGATAACATGGCTCTACTATGGGTAGGAAAGCAAGTAACATGAAAAGAATTTGCATATTTTTCCTCCATGTAACAGGTTTCTGTTTAGTTATTGCAATGTTTGTAAGATTACCTTAAACTTTGAACCTTTTATTCCTTTTGGCTTCACTTGAAACATTAAATCAGTGGGGAGTGTATATAGTAAATGGAGTGTTGGATGGAATACTCTGGCAAACATCTGTTGATATTTGGGTTGGTTTGCTGGCTGTAATGCACCAAGCTACTTTTGGGGCTTAAAATAACTTTTCTATCTTTTGGTCCTGCAAAACTTTTTGACTTCTGAAACAGCTCATGAGGTACTTTTGGGTTTGAGGTTTTGTTTTGAGGCATCTATGTTTTGAGACTGATTTAGTGACTGTAAGGCAATGTATTAGGATTAGTGATTTCTTCATATTTTAAGCATGTGAAAATATTTTTTTGACAGTCCTTTGTCTGGAATCAAAAGAAACTTTAGTCATTGAGCTCTAATTCCGTCTCATTGGCCTATGCTGAAGTTGAGAAGGAAAGTAGGGAATATATTAAACGTCTTCCTTTTCAGTCTGGAAATTCATGTTCTGAACCTGAGAGTTGAGTAATTTTAACTGACATTCAAATAAAGGGGAGCTTAAACAAAAGATAAGTATGCTTGTATTTGTTTAGTAGAAGAAAAGCTCCTTGTGCATACAAAATTATCAAATAAAGGGGAGCTTAAACAAAAGATAAATATGCTTGTATTTGTTTAGAAGAAGAAAAGTTCCTTGTGCATACAAAATTAATAAAGCTTCTTTTAATTCTAGGCAGCGTTACCTTCTCTCACAAACCCACCTTCTCTTAGCCCAATTCGGAGGAAGGGCAAAGAGAAGGAGTCTGTTGAGCAGGCGTCTGTGCCAATGAGCCCTAAAAAGGGCAGTGAAACAAGTCCAGGTAAGTGCAATTAC